ATTGGTTAAAATCATTGGTCATTGATTTAAAATGGTTATTTTCTTACTCTGTATTAAGAAGAATTCAATATTTACTTTCATATTTAATTCAGCTGCAAAGACATTTCATTGGACAATTTGTTTTACATTTATTTACACCTTGTTGACCAATTTATGTATGGCATGCACACTAAAATACGTTTCTTAAACTGATGGTTTTTCAAGTAACTTAAGAGAATGTTACTTCAGTCATGTTGTTGTGCTTGTGTTTAAGTTGGCTAGTTACACATAAAAAAAAAAAAAAATCGAAATCGTGAATCGGTCACATTTTATGAAAAAACCTAGATTTTTATTTTTTGTCATATCGCCCAGCCCTAGTTACAACCAACTACATGTTGTGTAGTGTTACATGTTTGTGTTCATAGTGTGGTGATGACTCTTTATAATGAAACAAATTGTAGCACTGCCATATTTTCTCTTCTTCTCTACTTGATCTTCTCGGCTGTGTTTAAAGAATCAGTGGATGGGCGTGAAAGCAAAGTTGTGGCAACGGACCCCACAGTGAAACAGGCCACACCAGTCAGTGCAGCCAGCATGTCAGCCTTCGACCCATTAAAAAACCAGGATGAGGTCAACAAGAATGTCATCTCTGCTTTCGGCCTGAGTGAGGACCAGACCCAAGGTATCGGACACTATCCAACTTCAGAAATAGAAGACGCTCTCTTAAATATTCTGTTTCTGTGTATAATCGGTCATATAAAGGTGTTCATACCTTCATTGCATGTCTGTTTCCCCCTGTGCTGTCTGAGCAGCTCCGCCAGTGGTTGCACAAGAGGAGCGCTCAGGGACCCCTGATAGCATCACCTCCTCCTCATCTGCAGCCCCTCAACCAGGAGTGCCTCCCCAACAACAGGCTCCATATGCTGGAGTACAGCAGGGACCCCCAGCTGGCATGGATGGTGAGGCACATGCACACACAACTGCTGTTTCCAAAAGAGCTTCATATACATGTCATTTTTATCACAAATATACTCAAACGTACACACTAAGTCAGGGATGTGTTTATATCAGGAGAAAGGCACGGTGTTATATGACCAGAGGGAGCCAGGCACCCTGCAGCATGGCTGGTTAAACAATCCCAGTTCCTTTTACAGTGTTGTGGTTGTGTTTCCAACATCACCGCCTGACTAAAATGGGACTCCCTGTTGAGGAGTTGAATTTGTTGCCAAAAAAACTCACCTGTCCATGCTTTTTGTTTTTTTAGGACCAGTTCTTCCTGAGATTTTATAAAAGTAGGAAGCCTAGAAGTACATCTCATGGTAACTTGGTATTGTTTGAGTTCATATTTTAAACATTCTGCAATAGCAGTGTTGGTTCTTACACATTACTCCCCCCTCAAGTTCAGAATCAGAATCAGCTTTATTGGCCAGGTGCGACGGACACACAAGGAATTTGACTCTGGTACATCGGCTCTCAATGTGCAAAACAGTAAACCAGTATAAGGCTGTGTAATATAACAAAATAGCAGTGTTAACATCAACAAACAATGCAGACAACAAAGGAATGTTCATTGAAATGAGATAAATAGGGATAAAAACAGAGTACTTAAGAACTAGAGACCTGTACAAATCTGTATAATCTGTACGAGGTATATTTACAGGTATTGCACTGAGGGTTATTGTCCAATCATACTGTCGTTGGTTAAGTGTTCATCAGAGCGACAGCCTGGGGAAGAAACTGTCCCTGTGCCTGGTTGTCTTGGTGCACAGTGACCTGTAATGCTGTCCAGAGGGGAGGAGTTCAAACAGATTGTGTCTGAGGTGTGAGGGGTCTGCAGTGATCCTCTCCGCCCTCCTTTTGACCCGTGCGGTGTACAGGTCCTCCATGGAGGCAGTTTTGTGTCACAGTAGTTTTTGTCCAACATCTGTACTTGCTTTTCTTAATAATTAGAATACAGACAGTATTGCTTGCTTTTCTGTTAGTGATCCTTAGTTGATTAGATTAAGTGAAATGTTGAACATTGTTTTGATGAGTAGAGAAAATGAAGAAGATGCAGGAAGTAATTTTAATCAGAAGAACAAAGTGAGGGTAGTACATAGGATGAACATGGAGTATCTCTGTGACCTGCTCTGCATTGACAGATGTTTGCAGTCTACAGTTTACTGCACGTGCCGTCGGCTTGTTGCCGAACCTGTTCGACTGTTGAAGCAGAAGTTTTCATTGGATGAGAAGTTATTCTCGAGTCTCACCACAGTCCTAATTAGCAGTGTGAGCCAGACTATTCATGGGACTATCTCATCACAGCTCCCCGGTGTACTATCATTAACCCAAACCTGTTGGATATAAACCCTAGGCCTAGATACATAACAAAGGACCAGACAGTATGTTGGCAAACCAAACATTATTTAATTTTCCCAAAACGGTCGGGGGGTGGGTGGGGGGGTGTCCTATGCCAAAACTTCTCACTTACCATGAGGGAATACTTTGGCTTGTCTCCCTTTCACTAATGAAAAAAGGCCTAAGCAGCTGCAGATGGAGTTTGTATTGTTTACCACATGGCAGTGAGAGGACTGGATTGTTTTCAGCTTGTGGTTTGGCCCAGATGAACGTGGAGACCACTGGTGCTAAAAGACCTCATGTTGCACGCTGTAAGAGCCATAATATGCTCTGAGGGCAGTGAGCACACCTGCAACATTTAACTGGTGTTGTGCGGTTTCCCTAGTTAGAGTAGCACTGCAGGGCCAGTCCATAGGGTTCAGCAAGTTTAGTTAGTCCAGAAGAAAGACCTAGTTGCACACACAGCCAGCTTAACAGAAAGAAGGTTGTTTTTTTTTCTTTTTCTCCATAACACAAGCATGGGGAAATGGCCAAACAAGGATATCATCATGGAGGTCTGACAGTCAGTTTAAGCTCTGCGGGGGTAAAACATTAGCAGCCTGGCTTAACGTAACCGTAGGGAATAACATGCATGTTTTTTGCTTAATTGTGATGCGGATAATAGTTTCAAGTTGCTCATACTGTATCAGTGTTCTACTATGTCTCTCTTGCTTGGTTTTGCACAAGTTTTATTGTATAAAACTTTTTTAAATTATGCATGGTTAGGAGGGAAATAAATAGGTCAACAGTCAACTTCAGGATTCATATTCTCCTGGTGTATCTTGGATGCATGTCAGCTTTTGAACCAGTACCTTCAGTATTTGGATCAAGTAGTAGTAACATTATCCTTTTTTAATAATTATCTTAAATACCATCTGATTTGTCTTCAAGTAAAAACCATCATCTTTGAAACAGCACAAGTGAGATGGAGCTCATCTGATGAGCTGTGGGGGTATATCAGACAAGGCTTGGCAATCATGTACTAGATGTAGGATGCTAGATGTGAGGTTTAAACAGGCTGACACGTGTTAGTGTTGGACGGAGACTAAACTGAAGCCCCTGTGTGGGTAGCGAGCTTTCCTGTTAGATCCAGTAGAATATTGTGTATTGACCTCCCTGTGGAGGGACATGAGTGCAAAGATAATACTCCCACACAATTCAGTGAAGTATTTTTACTGCACATATTAGCAGCTCTGACTAGTTACTGTACCATCCTGTTTGTCCAGTTTGCCCTCTCTCCATATCGTTCCTCCCTCTGTTTCCTTTCGTCTCTTTTCTGACTTCCAACCCTTCAGAGAGGTGGCACACAAAGACCTTAAACTCAGTCTGCCCAGCCTCGTCCCCCACTTGACCCTGTCCTCATTTTTTGTCTTCGCATTAAGCCAGTTGTTGCAAGAGATGTATAAACTGGATGCCGGTTGAGCACGTGACCCTTTGAAAGGTAGCCTTTTAATACAAGCTTGGGTTACTTGCTACAATAAGAATGCTGCAAACAAGCTCCATAAGCAGTTGGCAAAAATTTTAACCTTTGGTAGTAATTGAATTTGTGAACATGTGCATATGTAGCAATGACTCAGACATTTTCACAAGGCTCTTTATCAGAGGGGCAGACGTGTTTGGTGCCAATTGTTTATTTTGAAAATAGGGCCGTGTTCTCATGACTCTTTGTTAAGGCATGCCTAGTGGTCAGCAGAACTGCAGCCAAACTCTGTTCCAGTGAACATCACTCTCCCTGTGCTACACTGCCTTCAGTGAGCCTGATTGTCCAGGATAGACGGCCTCTTAGCTGTGCTGGTCAGGCCAGTGGTCTTTCCATCACTCTTACATAATACTCATGATGGTTTGCAGACTGAGGAGAGCAGGGAAGAAGCCAATTTTGCAAACGCCTCTTCACACAGTGAAGAGCATGTTGCTGACGTTAGAGATGCTGTCAGTGAGAGAACAGGTTGTTGCCAAAACATTTCATTGCTTATATCACACCACCACCAAAGAGCTATGCTGTTTCTAGCTTAAAACTTTAGTTGTTTAGACTGCAAGTACATTAAGCCATAGCTGCTTGGACTATAGTGCAGTTATATTAATTTAAATGTACAAACATACAGTAGTATGCTTTCTTGTATTGAGTGTTGTGACTTATGAGCCACTGGATTCAAAGTATTAGGAGGAAGTTATTTCTGAGTGAACTGAAGTTCTGACAGTATAGAAGAATTTTAGTTCATAGTGTCCTTACAGCTGTGCTATGTTTAAAGAATTGTAAAGTATGACAACATCAGCTCTCCCAAAGGGTGGAACATCAGCGCCAGTTTTCCCAGCGTTTGCATAACCAGTGTGAACCTTGGTGTGACCCTCCTTCATTATGCCGTCGCTCTTTGTGCTTTCCATGTAATCACTCACACATGTGTGCCAAGCCTGAGATTTGGGAGCATGACCCTGTTATGGGAGACCAGTAGTTTGCCAAGCCTTTGCATGTTTTTGCTAAACAGCCATTAAGTGGAAAACTTGATAAATTATAATAAGTGAAATAAGTGTAGCATCACTGTCAAACAAGGTCTTTTCATTTGCCGTGCTGTTTAGCTGCAACTGTTTAACATGGCTTCTTTGGGATATTTAGAGGTCTTAATACTGTTTAAGGCACATCGCTGTGATGACTGTAGAGATGGTGACTCTCCTGGACATGCAGCCACTGACATGCACCGTATGGTGCTGCAGAGGTCAGCCTCTTATCCCGATGCAGGATGCGTGTGATAGCCACCGTGTAAGAAAGACTGGCTCCTTCTTTGTGTGTTTTACATTTACTCAGGGCATTCATGCTCTGCTCAAGCTCACAGTTCTTATTGTAATGTGCCAAAGAGATTTCTTTGGGTTGTGTGGTGGTGTTCTGTCCAGTTGCACTGAAGATGCAGACATGATTTACACTTCGTGTCTTGGATTGCGGATCCGAAAAAGTGTCAGTCCAACCAAGTAGTATTTAAAATAGATTTCCTTTGATCGCAATTTTGCCAGATGTTGAGAATGTTAAAGGCTGTTTGTGTTTATCTGATCTGTGATCAGTTTAACGAGCAAGAGTGAAAGTCTTATGAAAATGATGCAGCTGTTTCTTTTGTAGATATTTTTTTAGTTAGCTGTTTAATTGCTCATTCTTGTTTGTAACTGAACATCTTGTATGCAGAAGTGATTCTTTTGGTAGTATGTGCACTACTACCACCCTCTGGTGTGGAGTAGGACTTGATTTGCCTCTAACCTGAGAAAAGCAAGGTGGATAATCAGACCAGTGGAGACTCAAATGTTGCCAAGTGTAAATGAGTGATTTTCTTTCTGGACAAGTGACATTTGAAATAAGCGCACATAGGGCCACAGTGGTGAATATCTGATATCTTCAGCTATCAGTGTACTGATAATGCTTGGTCTTGTCTCTTCAGGTCAGGTGTACCAGCAGTACCAGACTCCAGGTGCATACCCACCTCAGCAACCAGCTGCCCCACCACAGCAGCAGTATGGCATGCAGTACCCTGGTAAGAAGAACAAAGGTAGTTGCTGTGTTGTGAAATCAGGTGGATGTATTCTAATTTGCAGTGATTTAAAAAGACCCCTCTCTTCCTCTGTCTCTCAGCAGGATACACCTCTCAGCCTGGAGCCCCTCAGCCTGGCCCACCACAGCAGCAGCAGCAGTTTCAGAACTATACTCCTCCATCTTCCCAGGCTCCAGCCCCAGGTCCAGCTCAAGCCCCGGGCTTCCAGGGTGGCCAGCAACAGCCCCATCCACCTCAGGGAGCCCAGCAGTATCCACCAGGAGCCTTTGCTCCCCAAACCTATACCTCCCAGGCCTCCCAGCCTGTCAACTACAACCTGCCGCCCAGCTCCCAGCCTGGTTCAGCGTACCAGCCCCGCCCAGGATACACCCCACCTTCAGGCACCACTGTCACCCCTCCACCAGGAGCTGCTAACCCGTATGCCCGCAACCGCCCCCACTATGGTCAGGGCTACACTCAGGCGGGCCCTGGATATCGGTAAAAAACAAACAAAAAAGAGGATAGTGGATGTTACTGATCCTCACACACCTGCATACCTGTACCTTATATGTGGCTCCAGCTGTTTGGAGCTGGTGCAGGAAACATGGTTTACTGCTCTGCAGCCCCGTCCCCTCATACAAATATCAGTCTGAAGCAACCACCCACCCCTAGTCTGATGGTGTTTATATGCTGTCTCCAACACATCACTCTGTTCTGGCCCTGCTGTAGGTTTCCCTTGTATTAATTTACTTCTCTTCTCCTGTGTGCTCTGCTTCTTGTGTCCGTCATTGTGAACAGTTTGCACAAACTGTTTATCATGGTAGCTCATCATTTTGCATTTGTCACATGACAAACATCTCAGCCGACTGTGTTGAGTTTACCGTGCATAGATGCATTTAAAAGACACTATCCAAATGAAAAGTTACCCCTATGTCGTTTTTGTACTTGATCAGTTTCATCACCATGTTGGTATTAATGTCGATAAACTGCCCCATGTTGGGAACACTAGCTGGTGTAGTTCTGTCATGAAGGTTTCTTCTGTTTATTTAATCACATCCAGTTAAAGGATAAGACCAGTCATAATCTATATTAACAGTATTTAACACTCCTCATACAGAGACTGAAACAAAATGTTTTGCCTCTGCATTCATTTGTCTGCCCTAGGGACCTCCACCGTTGTTCAAAATGATTAAAAGCACAGTGAAACACACCACTGCACTAATTGACATTTCTTCATTATGAAACATGAGACCCACATTTTTATTTTAATGTTGCTCTAAAGACTCGAAGCAAGAGTCAAGGACCCATGCACAGGATCTTTGGATATTCTTCGGGTCTGGTGTTTCGTAATGAGGAACTGTCACACAGTGCAGTGGTGTCTTTCTCCGATGGTTTTTGAACAATGTAGGTCTATGGCCCAGATGAATAAGATAATCCAGGACTTAAGTACTGACTGACATCAACAGGGAGTAGAGACAATTCATTGTTGGTTCTAGTCTCTGAATGGGGAGAGTTAAAAATACTGTTAAATGATGCACCTAACCTTTTAATCTTGCTAATCCTCTGTCACTGGGTTTTACTAATATCAAATTAAAGTCCACCTCAAAGTGAGTTTAGTTGTGTATGTAAAAACTAACTTTTTGTTGAACTTAATAAAATGATCAGGACCCAGCTGGAATCCTCTTTGTTTTGTGTCGCTTTGGCCCTGTGTTGTCTCTCTCAAAACACTTTTTCTGAATTCATGTCTGTTAAGTTTGGCTTCTCTGTTCCCCCTCTCCTCCACCCAGATCTGGAAAACTGTGGTAATGCTGGCACCATATTCCTATGTTGTTTTCCTGCCTGTGGGTTGTGGTTGGCTCAGACATGTGGCATGTGAGATGTCCAACTCTCTCACTAAGTAAGAGGATACAATTGCATAGGATTTATTAAAAATAATTTAGAAGTGTTTATTTTCCACTTAGTCTGTGCCAAACTGAAGTTACTCTTTTACATGTTTGTCCATTGTAAATGCACTGCAATATTTAGTACAGTTAGCACAGCATTACCACGACTTGATAAATCCCTAAAGTCTTTGGCTATAGCAGAATTCTGTATTACATCCAGTTCAGATCAGAGCTCAAGCACAAAAACAGTGCTAGAACTTTGCACGATTAGATAACCCTCCTACTGATCACTAGTGTACTATACACAGTAGTTTCATCATTGCTCTTGACACAAAGGAAAATTAACTGGCAACAATTTTAATGTATCAGTTGAAATCTATGGACTTAATGAAATAGTTATTTCATCCAACTAATATTTCCCAAAATGTCAAACTTTTTGGGTTTTTTTTTTTTACCCCAAAAGGAACTGAAATGGAAATATCAGTAAAGGCAAAATTTATTTCTGAAATCATGGCGCATCAAAAACTGCAGTCATGGCAGATGTGGTAATTTTCCTATATAAAGCTTTTATTTCCACTTTGCAGTAAGTTTGACTATAAAAAAACAAATTAGTCATTTGCTGATGGTATTTCCACACTGAAGCTCAGTTTATTTTTCTCTCTATATATTTTAAATTCTTATATAAAATATAGGGCTGCATGGGTATTAAAAATAAAATTCTTTTGTTTTCCAAGTGGCCCCTTAGAAGCTCTGGGTTCAACCTTTGACTTTCTAACGACAATCAGGCTCAAGCTACTTTATCTGAAAAGTGTCAAACTGTCCATGAACCCTGGAATACGAACTGTATTTCACACCATATACATATACGAACAAAAGTTTAATACTGTGTAAACTACAACTGTTAATAGTCCCTTAGAGTCGGCAGGTCAGTTCTGCATATCTGTGCGTACTTGAACTTTACATCATACAAATGTACATCCAAATATGACTGGCACTTTTCTGTATACAAATGGCCAATATATTGGCTCCTTGACATGGAAATATTGGGTTTGTTTTTTTTTTAAACCTTAGATCAAAAACGAGATATTCAATAACAATTACTTGATAAATAATATCATACACATTATTACACTTTGGGAGCCAGCTTCCCAACATTTTCTTGTTCTTCTCTTTTATGTTCAACATTTAGTTTCACTCAAACTCCTGCATTCTTTCGTCCGATGTGACATTTCTGATAAATAGAGCAATTAAGACCAAAGTTAAAAATGCAAACAAGAGAGTTGTGACACATAATAATCCTATAAAAGGTTCACACCTGGGAGAGTAGGCCGAGTTCAGGCAGACACATCTACAGTGTTCATGGTAACATAAAAGAAAAGCCCTCCCTTCAGGCCTAGACAGGCACCTTCTCCCTCACCACCAAGGTGGTCATCCTCCTGGACAGCTCTGTAGGGTCTTACCACTTCCCAGGTATGGGTATGCCGCACTCATACCAGCCTACGTAGGTAACATGTGACTTTCCTCCAATTTCTCCAAAGTTGACGGGTTCCTGTCTCAGTGCTCTGAAGTATCCTAAAACACAGACAGAGACAGTATTGCAGTTTTATTAATTTCTTTACTTAGACCTAGTCTGATTGATTGCTTTTCCAAGAAGACTTGTGTAAAAGTATATACATGCAATTTAAATAAGGACACAGAGAAAAGTCACACACAAGTTACTGCAAATACTAAAGTAGTAAAACGTGTCTCATAAAATGATTTAAGTTTCAGTTTTTGTAGTTCATTCCACTTGCAGGGAGCCCAGTACCTGAAACCAGTCTGAACATGTGGCACAGCTGATGTTAAAGTATCCTGTGACCTAACATTGTAAGTACTGTGTTTGTACGAGACCTCTGAGCAGAGGTAATGAAGCGTCATAGATGAACATACAATCCAGTTCCCTTCTAACCATCCCACCTATACATATGAGACAACAGTGAGTGAGGAATTTATCATCTGTCATTGTACTGTGATACACAGTCAAGGCTTTAAGCTGGAGGGAGAAGTATGCAAATACACAATATCCCCATCACAAAGTCCAATTTTGCCCTTCTGTTAGTCTGCTGATCTTTAAGGGAGTCTAGTGTCCAGCTACTAAAGCAACAATTTCAATTTGAGAACCTGAACAGTGTATAGGGAGAGTAGGCTGGACTCTTAACTGACCGTGAGAATAGCATACACTGTTTTGTCAGAATATAAAACAAGATTTTGTTCAACTAGAGAAATCTAAGATGTATCAAAAGCTGACTGGTGATTTACAATGGCCAGATTAAGAAAAGGGCTCACAGAGATAGTGCCATTACCATATATTAATTGGTTTAATGGGTTGGCTGTGAAGGACAAGAATAGCGTATTGTCGGTGTGTTCAAAGATAACTGGAGTCCACAAGGAGACTTCTATTCTCTTTGGGAGAAACAGGTGGTTCAGAAGGATAAAGGAATTATCAGCCAGTCTGGCCATGTTTTGTCCAGTGAACTCACTATGATGACCTCTTGCTGCAGTTACAATGCACCTTTCAGCAAAGCTAACCGCTTTTCAAAGTCTTTTATTGCTTCTGCTATTAAACACTGATAGCACTCATTTTAAATTTTAGTTCTAGATGTCACATTATTTATTATTATTTATTATTGTGTGATTATTATAATATGAGGATTTATCTGATTTACTTTATTACTGATCATTGTTTCTCCTACTGACCCATATATGTTGACCTGTGGCTAGATCTTGTCTATGTGTTTGCATGTATGGGCTGCATAAGCTGCAAATGAATTGGGATCAATAAAGTAGTTTGAATATTACAATTTTGAGTGGCAGAGAGAATACTGTTTATGTACATATATGGCGAACGTAAAGGTATAAGTATAGAACCTTGTGGGACCTTGTGAAACTTCATGACTTTTCTCAGCATTAAATGGATTCTCCATCTAGTCCTAAAACGGATAGCTTTTGTAGTAAAATATTATGATCAACAAATTAAATTCCTTAGACAGTTGTTTGCAGCACAGGTCAGGTGAAGACTGTGCACAGCATTAACAACGTCATTAAGTATTACACACATAATTTAGCTGTTTTGCTATGGTGTGATCTAGTAACAGTCCGCATAAAGAAAGATATGAAATGATTGTGTTACTAGTCAAGACAAACCAAAATACCTTGTTTGCTTGGTAGCTGTTCTGCAAACAACTGGGTGCCGGTCCGTCCATCTAGGAAAGAGTCAACAAACTGACAGTGGTCCTCACCGTACCCCGTCTGGTCACCGATGTTGTAGAATTTTCCTACAGAGATGTAAATGACAGAAACCGGAGTATTTGTCTATTAAAAATCATGTGATCAGTCTCCAAATTTAGCATCAGATTAATTTATAGTACAAACATATGCCAAGAATCGTCATTCTATGTTGGATTAAAAATTAAACTTAATTTTTAATGCTTAAGCCAATACAGATGAGAAGTCTTCAGTGCGCTCACAAAATGGAAATTTGAACCACCTTGTAATGGAATTACAGATTCCATGACAACCGGAAAACTCCGTCTACTGATGAAGATCATATAGTACAGTTAAAAGCTCCAGAGTAGCTACTAAATAGTGTTGAATTTATTTTGTCACATTCTTCACAGCTTCTCTCTGGGTAAGGCCAATATTAACCCTTTAGACACACAAAACCATTTGGATATTGATGTCAAAACTGTACTCGCATCCAACTAAAACAAAGACATTTCTGACTATCTGGCATTTTGAAGATGCAATACGTTTCCCACAGTCATTTGTAATTCAGCTCCTGAGGACCCCAAGTCTAAGCAGCTACTTGCTTGGTTTCAATGTAATTACCTTTGAGCGAGTCACTCAGGTAGATCTTGTATCTCAGGGAGTTGCAGATCTGGACCCCTACATACTTTCGGTACCAAGTTCTCTTCACATACTGTTTTCCATTGCATTCAGAGTAGGCATCGGCTTTAAATGGGAACTGAGTCCAGATGGCATCTTTGCCTGTGAGGAAATCATTAGAAGCAAAGGCTTAATATACTGTCTCCTCACGAGATCCACAGCCAGAGAGGGTTCAACATTTAAAACAGCTAAACTTTGCTGGAAAATAGAAATAAGAGAAAGAACAATATCTACCTGAAACATATTCACTAACCCGTGGATCCGCTACAAATGTGAGAGAAAGTTGCAGTGAATAACGTCGTCAAGACAATTTAGCATTAATACACAGTCATGAGACATCTTGAATCGCTGTGCTAGACAAACCCAGACTTGTTTTAGAATTTCTCAAAGTATTTACAATGGGTAAGCTCCAAAAGGCTTTAACTGCATAAAGAGGCCAATTAAGCAAAGTATTCCCTTCTCAGTCATCATGAGTATAAAAACATCATTAGATCAACTCAGGGCCACACTTCAGCTGCTTTACAACTGGTGTACATTTAACTGTGTTAAGAACGCTCTGATCACAAGATGGACGATAAGCCTCTGGTGGCAATGAGTCTCAGAGGACATCTGGGCAGCTGACAAAACCCTCGAGTCTTGATCATTCAGATCCCAGTGCCATGTTGAAATCATTACACCAACAACTCCCTAAGGCCCACCTTCTGATTCAAAGTAGTGCTAATCGCTGCCTGATAGAAATTTATACAATGGCATTAAAGTAGAACTAATCGGTCTCTTCTGTCAGAGGAAACACATCAGGGTTTATCATCTGCTAATACGATTTTAGTCGATGATGTGGCTTGTGAAACTTGCCTGATTCTGTGCTAAAAGACACAGGATCACTTGAGGGTCCTGTTCCCAGCTCATTCTTTGGTGTTACTGTGAATTCATAACTGAAATAAAAACATATTCAAAACAACAACATTTGAGTCCCTAAAAAAGGGAAATAAAAGGTATAAAACAAACTTTTCAACCTGAATTCTTCCCATCTCCAGAACTGGGACACACATTTTCATTCCTTTGATGGCTAAGAACGGATCTCACACACGCACACACAGCTAATGGTTATTCCATGTGCTGCGTTCAGATGGCCTGGCAATCACTGGGCCGGCAAACCCAGCTCAGGGGAGGATTCTGGTGACTTCTGGGACTCCAGATGCTGAGGTCTCAGTGACCTACTCCACCCAGATTTCTTCAGGTTTGGACATTTTGTATGTGCAAAACCAAATGTGCATGAGCAAGAATGAAAATGAATTTAAAAACCAGCATATTCTAGCTCATCAGTGTCATTTGATACTATCTTGTAATACTAATGTAAAGTAGCCAGAGGTTCAAGCATACATTATTCTTAATCTAAAGGTTTATATAGGCAACTTCATAGTAATATAAACCTGGTTGTTGTTCCCAAGGTGTGCATGTTCAGAATCCTTGATCAACTAAAGGAAAAATCTCTAAATGCAGCACTGCCTGTGAATCCATGACATGATTTGCTTGTCAAAATAGTGTCTAAGTCAAGTACCTGCTCTCTGGTTTGAGATTCTCCACAGCTGTGTGGGTCTGATTGGTGGTCAGAATGGACACCTCCTGCCCATTCGGTCCTTCAGTGGTGGATAAAACTTCATACTCTGTCAAATGAGCCAGAACATCAGTGTGCTTTTGAAAACAAAATTTCATATTTCAACTTTCAGCAGTTACAAATTACACAGTCCAATTCAAAATGTACTTTTCAACAGGGTGAGAGATGGGAGATCTTAAAGCAGGATACAAGGTTCAGGCTTGAGATGTGGCATTGAAAGGCCTCTAAACAATCAAACATGATTTACATCGCCTGTTCCCACCTCCAAGTGGCAATAGCATTAGTACTGTATTAATATTACTGGGAAAAACATTCCTCTCTATAATTTGCTTGTGTTACTGCAGATACAACATTAGACATATATATATGCATATCGCTGAGCTGTAAACCTCTTTGACTGTGCTGCAACGCCACCAAAAACCATAGGCTCTGTGGGCTCTACATTCCGTATAGATACATTAATTCTGAAGCCAGCTGTTACTGCTGCACTACGTGAATGCCACAACTGCCAACTGTCATGTGATGTAGTTTCAGAGAGAGTGCACGAGGGACAAGAAGAGGAGATACTACTCAAGTCTGTTTTGATTCTCATCTTGCCCTTGAAAGTCGAAAATTAAAGGGAGAAGTTACTTAATGCAGGTTTAAAAATGTATTTGAGTTCTCAGAATTCTGATGTTTAATCTCAGCATTCTGAGATTAAAGTCAGAACTCAAATCAATTTTTTTTACAGTGACCCTAATCCATTTCTGTACAAACTGCACACTGAAAGGATGGTCATTAATTAAAGGGACAGATAAAGAGTGTGATCAACACCAGAGAAAGAGATTTTTCAAACCTGGAAACTCAAACCCTGTTGATACAAGTTGCTTATTATTTATTTATAAAGCTATATTATCCTAATTAGCCACAAATTACAACATTATTACATCATTACTAAATTACAATGCACCTATGGCTGATGAGTGGTTCTGTTTACATTTGTACATCAACAAGATGGCTGGGTGAAAATGGGGCTTTTAAAATCTAATAATTTGCCACCCATGTAAGATTTTTTTCCAAGAGAATTACTGTGGTGCTCTTTTTAAAAAATAAAACTGGACTTGTAAGCAGATATTACACGGTCAAGCCATCCCAATGCAGCTTCGTACCCTGAAAGCTCTTTGACACAAGATTATGAAGCCAAGGGCGCACGTAAATCTGTGTTATAGTATGCTATACATGTCGTTCAGTTGAATTAACTGTACCTCTGGTTTCGTTGTCAGATTTCTGCCAGTCAAGAATGACAAAAGATGGGCAGCCCTCCACAGTAACTACAGTGAGGTTGGAGGGTGGTATGCGGGGAGGACCAGTCACATTCAGATCACTGCCCTCCTCATCAGGAAAGTAAGTAAGGGAGGAGGTGATAGAGCACGGTTCATCTGGTTTCTTATCTGTTTTGTAGATCACATGGGGAGCTGCAGGCAAGAACAAAAAAACAGCAGTTATTCATTTAGACAAGCTAAAATCTTGCTTATTCATGTAGTATTACTAAGCAGCTCTGCTATAGAACAGATGATGTGGTGATGAAGGCTTTGAACCTGCACTGGACTTGTAAAATTGATTATTTCTTACCTACAAAACGCTTCTTGCCCGTTATGTCTACCTCTGACGCAGGCATGCGCCTGAATATGGAAGAGTTTTCAAACATGTCGAAACGGCTGCCTGCAAAGGAAACAGGACAGGAGAGTTGGGCTTAGTTTGATGTTCCACCAGTCCCTGGCAGCTCTCTCTGTCCTCGCTTTTATAGTTCTGGCCCAGGTCAATGACCAGCCAGCCCAGTACATGCTCTGGCCTGCACTCAGGATCTTTGTTTGCCTCTTGATATTAAAAATATTTGCCTGTTTTCGCTCATTTTCACCTGCAGTATATCCTAATTATTAGCAAATGTACATGGATCGATGCATACTTTCCAGAGTGGTGGAAGAAGTTCTCAGATCCTTTATGTAAAAATAGCAATACAACAGTGTAAACATACTCTGTTGCAAGTACAAGTCCTCAAAATGTTACTTAAGCACAAGGTATTAGCATGAAAACATAGTACTAAAAGTACTCATAGTGCAAAATGGCATATTTAACATTAATGTATATCATATTAACGAATTATAATTACTAATGCATTATTGTGATCATCACATTTAATGTTGGAGCTGGCAAAGATGGAGCTAGTTTTAACAATGAAATATATGTGCTTATAATTTGAAATACTTCACATACTCCTGGGTATCGTGAATTTTCCACAGGAGAGCAATAGTCTTACAATTATTCTGTAATTTCCGTATTAATCTGGTTCTGAAAAATAACTATTTATAAAATAAATGTAGTAGTGGGGTAAAAAGTACAATATTTGCCTCTAAAATATAGTGAAGTCAAAGTATGAAGTAGCACAAAATGAAAATACTTAAGTACAGATAACTCAAAATTGTACTCAAGTACAGTACTTGAGTAAATGTACTTAGTTACTTTCCACCACTGCTTTTATACATAGATTTTCCAATCACATATTTTCTATTGTTAGCTTTGCATCCAGGTGTGTTGTTACTTATACTGTTTAGTGCCGGGGCATAGGTGCTTGTCTGCTGTCGGCGTTCTTGCTTGGGCTTGGCTGTGACCAGAGGGAATGGCTTCAAGATGGACTCATTTTCTCCTTGTTTGAGGTCCATGGGTTTATCTGAGGACAAGGAGGAACAGGAGGAGGAGGAGAGATCAGTTCTTCACCCTCAGCATCTGACTCGCAGTCAAACACAATCGTGATCCATCTGGCCATCTTCACCGAGTATCTCAGTGGCCCTTTCCTGGCCCCTGAGAGATCAGACACTGCTTGCTGAGTCATATCTCTTGTACTCTTTAGGAGGGAAAGGTCTGCCAGAATACATCTGCTGGGACATGGATGCCAAGATGCTCAGAGCCATTCACCTATTCACACACAGATAGGCTCGCGCAAGTAAGTCCTTATGTGAAAACAGTCCAGAAAAAAGCCTTAGCAACAAGCCACTGCAATGAGTTGTACTGTTAGGGTAAATGCTGTTTTGTGCATTAGGACATATTGTAAATTTCATTGCAAGCTGTTCTGAGAAATTTGCAGAGAAGATGGTGGTTTTCAAACTGTGCTGAGCATAGGAAGCATTGCAGCAGCAAATTATTTGACCTTATGGAAAAAATTCTAGTGGAACTCAAGCTGAATAAATCAGATTCACGTGGGACTAATAAACAAAAAGTGGTTTCACACTGGCAAAACAATAAAGACTGGGTTCAGCGAGCTTCACCCAGACAATGAAATAGCATGTAAAAAACAAAACAGACTGATTTTTGACAGGAAGAAAGAGGAAAACAAGTGATGTTCTTGAGCAATTAAATCAAAGAAGTTAAGAAAATGCAATGTTTTAATTTAAGGTTCATTGTCAATGTAGAAGAAGAGCCTTTTGTTCTTTGTTTCCTCAAACTCTGGAAACTTTCTCCAAAGTGCTAAACAGTTTGGTAAATCCTCTTATTTGCCAAATGGTAGATTAGAAGACTGAAACTACTCTCACAATAAATATAAGGCTACAAACAGCAGTTAACTTAGCACAAACAAAACAACAAAGCGATTAGACTGTTGTGGTTTTATCTCCTATGAAGTACCACCGGTTGAATGCAGTGTCTTGTGGATTTTGTTACTGTCAGACAGAGCCAGGCTAACAGTTTCCCCCACTTCCAGCTAACCAGCTCATGAATGTAGTTTTATACTGAACAAACCAGATGAGAGTAATAGCACCAATCTTCCCATCTAACTCTTGCCAGGAAAGTGGATAAAGGTATTCCTCAAAATTTCAAGCTATTACTTTAACTAGCATATTTTCCATTTGTAAAACAGATGAATGGCTGACAAAAACTAAACAGGGTTGCAGAGGGGGTGGGGGACGAACTATTTGTCTGCATGTAAAGGGGTGAATTAAAGAAAACATTTAAGAACCGCTGGCTTAAAAAGTCAAGTCTTTCCC